CATGGATGACATCAACCGCCATTCACGGATCTTCGGTCGGCACGGCCAGTTGTTTTTTGTCACGAAAGACTCTTTTTTTTACAAAACAGAAAACTGCGCAACACAGTACGGTAGTTCCTTTTTGCCGCGCTGGGGTCCTTTCGACGCTGCCGCCTGTTCGTCTTGGAAACCAACCGCAAGTGACGGAGAGATGCCCCCCCCCGCCAGACCTATTTTCAAAGCTCGATTTCTTGACGAACGACCAAGATCGCGTCAACACCTACGATGATACGATGATGGTGGTTTGAAACGTATCGTCGAGGGATTTCTGTTGACGTGCCGGGCGATTTCCACACACCCTTGAAATCGAGCTTTTAAAGTCGCCCTAGGGGGGGACGACACCTCTCCCCCTCTTGGGGTATGTCGTGGGAAGGCCCTCAACACAACGCGGTTTTTAAGCGCTTGTTGGCACTATCGAAGGCCGCATGACGTGGGATACCACACCGATGTTTCAAAGCTCGATTACCGTAAATGACACATGATAGATAGCACACCCCCTGAACCGATGTTCAAATCCCGAATTCTCAACAGCAGAGAGAGAGTCACACACAGCGCCGAAAACGGGGGCGTTGAAGCCGTCTGGTCGAGAGCTTTCCGAAAATGTACCATTTCGTTTATGCATCCTCTTCGTCGTGCCGTAATCGAGCTTTGAAAATTGGTCCAGGGTGTGTGTTATCTTGTGTCACATACGGTTACTCCGCTTCGAAAGGAGAGACGGTCTCGAAGGCGGCACGGCGTTTTAACCGTCTCTTCGACACCTTTCCGAAAACGTATCACGGAGGGGGTCCCTGTTCAGTGCCGGTTGAATAGTGCCAATGGCCGGTGTAGTGCAGGTGTTTTCGGCGGGCACACACTGAATTTCCATGCCATTGTCAGTACTTTGAGTAGTGCCGGTCCGGCATAGCGCCGGTGAACATTCTGGGCACGCACCGGCCAAAAACAGGGACCCCCACTGTAGTCTCTATACCAAATTTGACGCAAGATACCACACCCCTCTGCGTTTGATTTCGGTGTCTTCTTGGTGGTGGCTTTAGCCAAGCTTAAGAAATTCTGTCCAATGGGGTGTGGTGGCTGTTTGCAACCTACAAGTAGGGTATTTCAATGTATAGGGGCCACTCTACTGCTGTACTCGGCGTTCCATTCTCGACGTCCCTCTTCTTCTCTCCCCGCCCCCCCCCGCGGTCCTCTCGAGGACGCATTGCCAATGGTCTAACCGCTACAAGTAAGGTATGCAAAACATGAACAGCACGCCTTCCCCCCCCGCACGCTCTGTCCTCTCGAGGACCCGTGACCAACGGTCGAACAGCTAAGGCATGCAAAACATACATACCCGCGTCCCACCATGACACCAACGAGTGCTGAGCGGCAATGACTGATTTTGTGTAGCCCCCCCCCCGCCGCCGCTGCTTTGGTTGTTGCTTTCCGTTTTTCCTCTTGCACGAAAACCATCGATCATACACGCTGATGTGTATATAGTACTTCGAATGGTTTATTTGCCTTGCCTACTCCAAATGTTCTCCCTGCGCCGGGTGTAGCAAGTCTTTTTCGCTTCGTCTTTGTTTTCTTGTTGACATAGCACAACTAATCAATCTCTGTCCATAGATGGGGGTCTAGCTTCCTGTAGCATAAGTTAGCAATGTTTTCTTGTAAGCATAACACAAACGAATCCATCTCTATCCTAGATGAGGGTCTATCTACATGTAGGATACGCTGGCAATGAATTTAGCGTTAGCGGAGCATGTAGTTTCTACGATTTCCCAAGCAGAGCATGCAGCGATATCTCCCCTGTGGGTAGCGGTCCCGCCCGATGCTTTTTGTTGTATCTTCTTTTTTAACGGTACTGCCCAATGTTTTTTGTTCAATTTTTTTCTTTTGACTGTCCCGCCCAATTTGTTTTTTGTCGCATCTTTTTTTCTTTTCAGGCAACCGAGTCGGAGCAAGGAATGACATCTAAACCTCCAAAGACGGCGGGATGCGGTTGCTCCATATCATGACGGGAGAACACGAAGGGTGTACCGTGGGTTGCATAAGATATCACACCCCCTGGACCGATTTTCGGAGCTCGATTACTCCACGACGAAGAGGATGCCGAAATTGAAGTATACGTTTTCGGAAAGCTCTCGACAAGAAGGTTCCAACGCCTCCCGCCATTTTCGGCACCGCCAATGTTTTGTGCTGTCGAGATATCGAGCTTCGAAAATCGTTACAAAAGGGGGTGTGATATATCAGCAACCTGCGGTGGATTAGAAGACTGCTTGGTTTCTGTTTTGTGTCTGTGGTTTTTGTCCGCCCTGCCCTCGTTTGATGGTGGCCTGAAAAGGCAGGCAGGAGATAACATCGATAGGATAGATAGGCTAAAGGCAACGTGTTTTTGAGTCACCTTTGACAGCGTGTAGGAAGGAACGATTGGCCATCGGTGATCGGTCCTGTGGGGAAAATGCTCCTCAGGGCGCGTGGTCTGTGGTCTACCAGCCACTAAGGCGTGCAAAACTTAAGCACGCCTGTATGGTGGGACTCTTTATATTCTCAATTTATTTAGATGAATGGGTGTTTTGTTGTGTGTGTTTGGGGCTAGTCTTTGTTGCCGTTTGAATAGACATTTGCTGTTTTTCCGCCTCGAAAGAAGACCGTGGAAGAGGTTTTTTGTTTTTTTGTACAGGAGTACGTTGCCTCGTTCGGTGAGACGATATCGACGGCACCGGTGATAAAAACATTTTTGGACAACCAACACGCATGCCCATGTGATGAACTTGTTGTCAACACGCAATGTCCGTGTGACTGACTCGTCGTTGTTCAGTATTGTTTGGAACACCAACGAGTGTTGCATATGCCCGTGCATGATTGCAATGTTTTTAAGTGTTTTTGTCTCGGCCCGAATGCACTATTACCTACCGTGGTTGTCGATAGTTGAATGCGTAATTTTTGTCGTCTGCTGCTGTCTGTATCTCACCGGACCGGCAGTCACACAGACGGGTGTGTCACACAACGGACAGTAGGCCGGGAGGCCTTGGAGGAAAAACTAGAGTAAGAGCTGGCACTCCACCACCCTACAGAACGCGCTACCGCTTGAGAACCTCTTAGTTTTGGCCGACGCTGGTTTCGTATTGTCTTCTGCATGGGGTATCCCCCTGGCGACTATAAATAGGTTTTAGTGCAGGCGTCTTGACTGAGCACCTGTTCTTTCTTGCGGCCAAGTTCTTCGATTTTGGATTTAGTGGGGCTCAAGTGTTTGGGTGGTATGTTTTTACGCGTTCTGTTGTTGCGGTTGATGCACCTCGTTGCCCACCCTTGCCTTGCAGCAGCAACCTTCCCAACCGCGGAAGCTTGACATTAGGATGTGTTTATGACCACAACCCCAGCGGCCCTGACGAAATACAAAGTTCAAAGGAAAACAAAGCTCGTTCTTCTGCGGGTGAGCGGTTGATTTTCTTATTGGTCAACACCGGCGACGCCACTGAGTTCTGATTGGCCGAAATATCCTGACCGGCGGGCGATCGATGCCATCAGCCAGCAGGGTCGGAGCTATTTGTCGGCGTTCACCTTTTTTTTATTTTACTACAAGCGCGCACCGCAGGGGGAAGATGGGGCACGAAAGTAATAAAAAAAGGGCCCTGCCTGGTGTTTACTCCCTCCTGTGTGACCATGGATGGTTGTAGTTGTACGAAAAACTACATACACTGAAAAGTGTAGTACACGTCTCATCACGAAAAATGGGGGGACTGTCGCCATAATAGGACGAAAACACACACATAAAACCCGCCGCCCTGTCTGTGGCTTGCTTGTTCGATGTCGGATTTTCCGGCGTTCCTCTCTCCTTGGCAACAAGGGAGAGGAGACGGGAAATCTCACGCTCTCGGGAAGTAGACGGTACTTTCTGGACGCGGATAGATCTGGCTCTGCCAAGATCCTCAAGAGGATTTCTCTTTTCCGTCCCTTCCCTCAAGAGGATTTCTCTTTTCCGTCCCTTCCCTCCTGCTCGTTGTAGAGATCATTTGTAACCTTACATTGCAGTACACACTGCAGGCAGCGAGAGAGGGAGGTCCATCCGTGCTGCGATGGATCTAAATCGGCGGTGCTGTGTCGAGAGATCGAGAGAGGACGCCCGTTTGTGTATGAAGAAAATCTATGGGTATAGGGGGGGGGGCACTTGCACCCACGTCTCCCCTTCGTCTGCCATCGTCTGAAAGAACACAGCAGAAGACAGACAAAGCTGCAGCACCGTGCCGAGAAAGAAGGGAAGGTTGTCACTGCATGCAAAGCGAGCCTGCAAGATCCCTGAGGCGTCCACGGTAGTTCCTCCCAGTTCGCGCTGCGCTGTGTGAGCGGCGGGGTCGTCTTTGGACGTGGTTGATTGTTGAAGCAAAACGCGGAGAGTTTCCACTTTCAACATCCTGTTCGTTGCAACCACAGGGAGACGCGGAGATAGAGAGGGGGAGGGCCAGCAAGAGGGAGATATAGTGGCAAGGGAGGAGGTCATGGGGAGCCCGAACAAGATAGCGTCCATGGTGGGGAAGATCAAGGGAAACCTCCCCGCTTCTCTGCAGCCGTGGGCACTCAGCTTGATGTTCAACTCGCAGGTGCATGGAGGGTCGGCCTAATTATGGTCCGAATCGGCACATTGGGCCCATCGGCCTTCGCGGTGTCCTGGAGGCCTGCTTTAGCGCTGTTGAAGATGCACCGTGATTGAACGACCTATTGGGAGGTCCCTAGAAAGGCTTTGGCGACAAAGGGCTTGTGTTGTTATATGGGCATTTTCCACAACCCAGATGGATCGTGCCGAATCGAGAATCGAGGCTTCAACCCAAATGCGGCGAAATTGCGGCCGGGAGGTGACGCAGTCACCGTACCTCCACTTCATGCTCTCTCATCTCGTCATGGTCATGATCATGTTTGGTATTATTGTATTGAGCACAGAGCGAGATCTGTGCACCACGCGGAACACATGATGATAAATCAGCAAACCACGCATGCAGCTGCATGAGCATGAGCAGGTGGTGCCAATGGTCCAAGCCCAATCCTTCGCCTAAAGCAATAATGAGCTGTGTGGTTGACGGTTCGGTGACAAATGAGATACTATGGTACATTTTTTTGACAGCTTTTCCAGTGATCCAAGCCCAACCCTTCCGCTAAAGCAACGAAGCCGTCGTGGGGCAAGTCGGTGGCAAAGGAGATGGTGGCAGACAGCTTTTCATCCCCCCCGCATTTTTGCCTTTCAGGTGAAACTGGCCGGCACTGCGGGCGTGCGGGTGGAGGAGCTCACGCCCCACCGATCCGTCGTGAAAGTTGCCAACGTCCGACGAGTGAGTTTTTTTTTTTGTTAACGTCCGACGAGTGAGTGGGGCTGAAGTTAAAGCATTTGTGCAGCAGTAAATTCAGTATTAACAGAGGTCCCTGTGAAGGGGCGATGTGTGCCCAGAAAAAATCACCGGCACTATACCGGGCCGGCGGGCACTTATTCAAAATACTACTGAGAATGGCATGGAAATTCAGCGCGTGCCCGCCGAAAACACCGGCACGGCACTGTTCAACCGGCACTAAACTCCAAACAGGAACCTCTACAGTACTGCTGTAGTAGCAGCAGCAGTGGATAGTAGTACAATAGTTGCCGTTGCTGTTGGTGGAGTAGTAGTGTAGTTTAGGTTCGTGGTGGTGTTGGTGATGGTCGTGACGTTGCTGCCATTGCCTCTCGTCGTTGTTGTTGCTGTAGTTTTTACTGTGGCTTGGTGTATCTCACGCCGGTTCTGCTCGCTGTTGGAAGTGGCCTGTTCTTGCTTTGCTGCCACTTATGTCGCTCTTCCGAACGAAGCGCATCCACCCCCACGTCTATCTATGCTGTCCAGTCATGGCAACTGAACAGCAATGTCATTAAGCACACTCTCGCGCGTGAAATACGAGTTTGTTTCCAACCACAAAAAAAAAAACGTTGTCCATGGCGCCAACAATATGTAGTAGTGATCGCGGTGTTCGCGATGACGGAATTGTTTTTGTCGATCCCCGATGCAGAGCTGCTTCGGGGCTGTCCGGTAATGGCAACTGAACAGCAATGCCATTAAGCACACTCTCGCATGAACTTCGAGTTTTAGACCACGATAACTCATACAGTGAGCGTCACCACTCAAGAATCTCTTATTTTGGCCGAGGTTCGTTTCTTATCTTCTCTAGTCCATGGGGTACCCGAACAGCGACTGCAATATCTAGGTTTTCGCGGAGGGCTTTTTGACTGAGCCCTGTTCTTACGACCAAGTTCCTGAAGTTTTTCGTTTCTTGAGCCGCAATTTCGTAACTCCCAGGTTCTTACGTGCGGGCGCTACATGTAACTGTATGGCACCAACGATCGCGGTGTTTACAACGACGTTTGTTTTTCGATTCCAGATGCAGAACCGCTTCGGGGCTGTCCAGTCATGGCAACCGAAGAGCGACAGCATGAAGCACACGCATTGTACTTGTAACCGCAGTCCATGTAAATAGTGATCGAGGTGACCATTATGTCGGAATCGATTTTGTCGATCCCACCTGCACAACCGCATCTGAGCTGTCCTGTCGTGTCGATTGATGAGCTACGACACCCACACGGACAGTCTCGCGCCAAGAAGATCGAATCTTATCCACCACCAAATACTCGTGAACCAATAAGCAGAGCCAACCAAAACAGGAGACCAATAAGGACCACGAGAGCGGTGTCTTCTTCACCGTCGGAATGTTCTGTTTTTCGATCCCCCAATAGGCGCAGAACCACATCCGTGAGTAGTCCAGTTATGGCAGCTGAAGAGCGACGACACGTGCTGCCATAAAAACACATGTACCAAGTACTACACGTTATTGATACTTTCCCCGTACCAACAAAATACGGATCACGAGCGCGGTGTCTTGAACGTCGGACTGTTAGTTTGTCCATCCCTCAGTAGGCACAGAACCACATCCGTGAGTTGTCCAGTTACGGCAACTGAAGAGCGGCAACACCTGTTGCAGAATGTAATTCTAACCACAATAACATACTCGTGAGTACTTCAGTACAGTAAAGTATTTGAAATTTTACTGTACCAAGAAAGTACCGGTCACGAGCGCGGTGTCTTGAACGTACGGACTTTCTTGTTTGTCGATCCCGTCCGATAGGTGCAGAACCACATCGGGAGCGTGCACGCGTGCGGCATGGCTCTCGCCGCGGAATCCGCCACGGGAATCCTGGTCGGCATGAGCGTGCCCGACAGCCGGCTGCCCCTGTGCAAGAGCATGGCGATCGATTTCACAAGGCTGTCGCAAGGTATGGTATGCTTTTTTTTTGTATGATAGTGAAGGCCGCGCCTTCTTTGGCGATGTCCTCTGTGTTGTTGATGCGGTCGAGTTCACAAAGGCTGCCGCAAATTTCGCGTTTCTTTTAGCAGTGCCATTATCTTCTTTGGATGTCCTCTTTGTTGTTGATGCGATCAACTTCACCAGGCTACCGCACGGCGCGTGTGTTGTTATAAAAGCCACGTCTTTCTTGCGATGTCCTCTAAAAACGAACCGTAACACACGCCTTTGCGAACCGGCACCAGGCGATGTAACGGCCGTGGCGGAGCTAAGCGAAGAGCAACTTACGGCCGTTCGAGACCAAGAGAAGGGGGAGGCGAATGTACAGGTGCCGTAGGTTGCATGACGTAAGATAGCGCACCCTCTGGACTGGCGTTGACCTTTTTTTAAGACTGTTTGCAGATTTGTGATTTCTTCTCTTTTGGTTCGATGAAGCTCGCTGGGCTCTTCGAGTCGAAAGCACGTCAGCTGTATGACCTGTTCGAGCTTGGAAAACGTCACCGATGGCAGCTGGCAGCTGATTCACACAAGCACACGCTTCCCCTTCACACGCCTTGGATGACACTTCCACCACGAGTACGCTCTGATGAGCCCATTCCGGAGGCACACCTTGTAGAAAATATTCATACGCATAAAACCGAAGAAAATACTCGAAGAAAGACTGCCCGGTCGAGATAAAACCACAGAGATCAAAGGGGGTGGGTTGAAATACTTTACAACAGCGAGTGGGAGAAAAACCGACTGGATGCTGGGATTACCGTAAGGATGCGGGTCTCCGCACAGGGGTGTAAGCGTTTCTCAAAGCTTTCTTACTCCGCAACGATATAGGAGCGTGCGAAGGCCAAACGACACGTCTGAGGAAAGACCTCGATGAGATAATTCCAAAACCGCCCTTTTCGGCAGTGTTGCCTTCCTAGTTGACGAGTGGTGAAGCTTTGAAAAACTCTTACACCCCTGTGCGGAGACCCGCATCCTTACGGGTATATTGAGCCTATTTTTTGCCTCGCGCTTATTGTTTTAACAGTGATGCCAGCTGGTGTTAAGCAATAAGGCATATTTTGTTTCTTTTTTTGTTATCTTCCAGGTGACGGTTACAGATGAATCCGGGAAAGAGCCTATCCGAGCGGAGTTCGTGTGGGCCTGGGTCCCCAAGCGACGGAAAAAATAATACGTCGTAAAGAGGAAGGGTTGTGAATAGAAACATGTAGAATAGTCGGTGGAAACGGCCACGCTGTGGGTACTAAGGATAGCGAGAATGGTGTATGGAAAGAGCACTGAGGTTCGTTCTGGGCGCTACTCTGTTTGCCAGAGGGCACCCGGGGTGGGTGGGGGGTGGGGTGGGGTGGGGGGGTCCCCTTGCGCTGAGCTGCGTTAGGCAATTGTTTTGCTGCAAGTTCGGAACGTTCCTGAGACGGGCGGCTTGGGCTTCTTGTCGTACCAAGTGATGTTGTTGTTGATGTTGTTGTTGTTAGGAAACATAAATACAAACACAGAAATACCACCCATTCGAGATATGACCACAGTCGAACGGGATGTGTTGAAGTCTTAACAGTGTATGGGGAAACCTGCTGGGTACATGGCATATTTAGAGTCTATTTATGTTGTTGTTGTTGTTGTTGTTGTTGTTGTTGTTGTTGTTGTTGTTGTTGTTGTTGTTGTTTTTTGGCCAACAAAAGCCACCCAGGTCTTACCTCATATCCGTACCGACCGGGTGATCCAACGTACCCGTGAAAAAGGTGAAGAGAGCCGTGATCGTCGTGGCTACCCTCGTGTTGCTCAAGTACCAGGCTACGGCAGCAGTAGCGCAAACCTTGCGCACATGTTTGCGTTGTTCTGGAAGTCGGCTGGTAGGCACGAATCACGTGTAGAGGTGGACACCGACGCCGCGGCAGTTGTCATCGACGGCAAGCGTCTGGGACACACGGGGCGCAGCCCCCGCTACCACCGCCGTGGGCACCGCCCCTGCCTTCGCCTCCACTCCCCCCTCTGCCCCCCTTGTCCGCCTAGATCCACGGATTGGATACCGTCGTAGCCTGTAGTAGAAAGATGGTTTGAACGAGAACGCAAGCGGCATTGGCTCAAAGAAGCATGCTACGAGGACAAGTGCCGCAAGCTTACCGTCTCACAAGGGTGGCTACAGTTAGCGCCCCAATAAAAAATAAACTTGAAGAAAACGAAGGCAGGCTCAGATTTTGGCGAAAAACAAGAAAACCAACTTCACAAACACACACCTCAGCCGCGGATCCTACACTTAACTCTATATATTGACCTATGCTCGACGGCGGTGACGAAATGAGAAATTGAGCCTCGATCCCCAATTTGACGTTTCTTAAGCTGGCGCTAGCTGTGCTACTGAGTAGTACCTGATTTGTGTGTTTGTGCCAATTTCATCAAGCATGGCCTCAGTACAATGAAAGGGTATCGTTCACCATTTCGAGTGTGCATAGTACCGCAGGAGGCGGAGAGATGGTACCCCCCTATAGCACCGGTTTCCAAACCTCAATTGTTTTCACAACCAAGATTGATTGTGCCAACACCAAACGATGGGGGTTTCGGAAGCATCTCGTCGAGAGAAATAAATCCGTTGACGTGTCAAGCTATTTCCGCACCCACTTGTTTGTTGAGCATTCGATCTTTTCAAGTCGGATCTAGGGGGGTCTATTGGGAGATACCATACCTCCCCCTCGTACGGTAGTCAGTGATGAGGAAACTCGCGTCGTTCGCAACATACATGCGCAGCACTGGGCCCTCTGTTATGCAGGTTGCATAGTGCAGGTGCCCGGTATAGTGCAGAAAAAATCTCTGGACACACCCCTGCACTAAAAGAGGGCCCAGTACTGCTGTGTGCCTTCTTTTCCCCACCAGACAAAGGAAACGATTGCACACTCTCTACGCTCAAATGAGGAGGATCTGTTAGGAAGATCATTGCTGGTTGGTGTGTACGCAATTGAGTATGACGGCTGTGTCATCTATGTAGTAATTGGTGGGAGGACAACACACACTTCATTGAATAGCTTAGCCTCCCCGTGACGCCCCTGCACGGGGTCGGTCCCAGATCACTGCCTTTAGAAGCATTTAATTTGTTTTTGTGTTTGGAACCGCACTGATACTGACGACGTATTTTTCATTTTTGGTCACCTTCATGGTCACGCTCATAATAGCAATAGTTGAATCAAATACATGAATTCCCGCTCCGCCATGTGCTTGACTCCGTGCAGACTTGCATGATGAGTACATTGACATGCATTTTCGGCTTCTTTCTACAGTAGTAGTAGTCTCGTTGCACTCAGGGGTCTGTCTGGTGTAAACGCTGTCTGGCGTAAACGCTGCCTGGTGTAAACGCCCTCCCCCCTCCCCCGTCAGTCAATTTGCTAGTATGTCGCTCGCGTATTATGCCGCGCAATCTTACCCTCCACATGAACAATGGGTTATTATCTACTTGATGATGCTTAATTGTTGTTGTTGTTGTTGTTGTTGTTGTCTTCACATTAAAAAAAGTTCCGTCCTCCACTCAGTACCTTCTATTGTGGTCCGTACTGGTCCAACTGACACGGACGCCTTCCGTGGTCACAGGCCAACTGCCCCCCATATTGTACTTCTGTATGCATGTGCGTGGAAAAGACATTTGGCTTGTAGACTATCGCTGATTGATGATGCTATACACATCGTTCTTCATGCTCTTGATTGATGTATGTCACCGGATTTCTTTGTGACCACGGATTCTCTTCGGCTATGTAGAGGCAAAATCGTGCTGTAGGGTACATGCATAGTCATAACTGCGAGCGCGGGCAAGAAGCACGATGTATGGGAAAAGTGGGGTGGGGAAACATGCGTGTGAAACACATTCAGTATTCAATATTTATTTGTGTGTCTGTTCACCATATCAACGGGGGGCGCAGTGGGCGGATAGGGGGGGGGGGTGTGACTTTCGGCGAAATGTCACATTTGTTGTGCTCCCTTCCCCAGAGAGCTGGCTCCCCCGCTGGAGAGTGTTTGAGTGCCAAACTCTGTTTTTCAACAACAGGAGAGGACAGGCTCGCACAGCAGCAGCAGCAGCAGCAACAGCAGCAGGAGCAGCAGCAGTGCCCAGGAGAGACCCGTGGTTGCGAGGCATCTGCGACGACGATCAAAGCCCGATCATCTCGTCTCTGTCGTGCCGCGCGCGTCTACCGCTGTCAGCGGAAGGGGTTGTGGATACTAAGAACGGATGATCATCATGAGCGCCAGCAGATTTGGAGGAGGAGGTGAGTTAATACAGGCGTTGAAGGAGTCCCCGCCCTGCTTGCTCGGGGAAGACATGGGTCTCGGTCGGCTTCGGTCGTTCTCGTGCGTGCAAGACACACACGAATGCATGGATACCGTATGACACAGGGTTGTTGCGTTTGGTTTCACCTCATTTTGTTTTTTTTGGCGTTTCGTCTACTAGACTACAGCAGTACACTCTTGGAGGTATCCTTGTGGTTGTGTGTACAACTCTGGTGCGGACTACTGCTGTAGCGGACTGCTGAGAGAACTCCCACAACACATGCGAGGTGTCAAATCTTTTTGGGTACGTAGTCATGCTCGAATCTTGCTGCTAAGGAGCTACAGCAGTAGAAGCGGACAGCAGGACCACCGCCGCTGCTGCATACGATGTGAAGTGGACGCGGTCAGCTACGAGCCTGTCGGATAGACGGCAGAAGTCGCCCAGCGCCATGATCGTTCCGCTCTATGGTTTCGGCTGGTCGGACGAAATATTAACCACATCATCGCCTGCGTTGCGTATGCTATCCATGTCAGCGGCCACCACTTGTCTACACTACCCAGCGCTCTGATGCTGCCGTGTAGCGGGTCACCTTACAGCAGATACTGATGTCTAGAGTTGAGCGCCTTGCGCACGGGACTGAAACGAAAGGTGTTTTCCACTGCTGCTGACTACTGCAGTAACTACCGGTCCGGTGTAGATCGCAACCGCTTTTATACCCCCTGGTATGTATCCAGAGTAACGCGTGCCCTGTGTGCAATCAAGAGGTGTACATTCCTACAGATTGTGCCGTGCGGCCTCCGCGTGTGGGTCCTTTCGCCTGCGCATCGTGTCATTGTCTGCAAATGTTGATGCCGTCCAACTTGGATCCATTTGCACATCGTATCATCTTGTCGTTTCATTTGTGTGTAGGGTATCCACCGTACAACGAATTACACCACCCGCAATATCCTATACCTTCTCGGCCGTGTTGCGCCGTAGCTCTCACGACTGTACTCAATGGGTTCTGCGATCCATATCGACCTTGAACATTTCAAAGTTTCTGACGCTGATGCTCATGTTCATGTACTATCCGGTCGACGATGCTACAGTTTCCATGCAGGGGCCATATCATTTTCCGGTTGTTGTTTTGTCGACGCTCTCTTCGCAGTCTCTATCGTTGCCGCACCGACTCCATCTCCACGTCCATGCGTTGTGTTCGTCGGGATGTTTCTGCCTCTGTTTCTGGCCGTTACTTGATTTTGGACGCTGCTCTCGCATCGTTGTTCGCTCGTTCTTGCGCGGAACTTGCCAGTGAATGGCCTCACCGCCAGCCGCACGAGGCAGACCGCCCCCCGGCACCGTGTGGCAGGGCAGGACGTGGGGAGGGAGAAGATGGAGCGAGTGGAGGATAGGGTCGTGGTGGGGAAGAAGGGGAGGATGGTGATGCTGGACGTCACCCAGAAGCCACAGCAACAACGGCAGCAGCAGCAGCAGCAGCAGCAGCAGCAGAGTAGGCACGTGCCACCATTGCTGCAGGAGCAGCCGCCGACGCCGAGGTGAGAATAGCGTGAGCACAGCAGTTTCAACCAAGCATTATATTTCTGGGTCAAAGCGGTTATTAAATATTCGGCTGTGATATACACACAAGACAGCAGATGCGTCGAGAATACGCAAGTCCCTGTCGGAAACAACATGATGAAAGTGGTCGATGAGTCAAACTTCGGTTGATTTCCCGCCGTTTGGTTCTGCTCAATTCGCTTTGCCGTTTCGCCCCATCGCCACCCTGTAGATACATTCCGGCTCTCTCTTGTGCGTGAATTACTGTACTTGGAGTTGTAGATCGAGGTGCAAGCCTTATCAAGTGTTTGATCTGACACTGGTTGGTCGTTTAGGAGAAAATCTAGCCAGGACCCATTTGCTCGTTCCATTTTCTACCAATAAACCACGGTTGCCGCGGCATTGCAACCAACCCAACCCTGACCTCCTCCAGAAACACCGTTTCCCCCCTCCAAAGGGACACTCGCTGCAACACGACGAGTGCACCCTTTCTGCACAGATATCCTTTCCTTCCTGAGCCCACAGCAAGGTCCCTATCTTTCGCAAAACTTCAAAACAATCATGAGAAACTCCCAAAATGTGAGGAACATTGACGCCAGCGATCCATGTTCCTCACTTGCTCGTAGTGGTGCGGAACCTTGACGTCGAGCTGCTGGGATGGGCACAACCTGCCGCGCTGCCTCAAGTGGCTTGCCATAGTGTCCACGAAAATGGAGTACGTGTGTGCACATGCATCAGTAATAACGCTCTCAATCATTCGTCGTATTATCTCGTCCTGCTGCGAGACTTACATACGGTCGTGTGAGGTTCCAATAACAAGTACGGGAGTGCTGAGGGAAGGATGCACCAAGCTAACCGCCTTGACTGACTTCTCTGTGTGGTACAACGGTTGGTACGGCATATGCAACGTTCGCTGCACCTTGCTCGCGCCAGGGTGTCGATCAAGCTCACCTCGACAGCCCGTAGA